GATGACCCTCGGCGGCATCGCCCGGATGTACGACGAGTGTTTCCTGAATTGCCCGCGCCCCGGACCTCTTGGACCCCCTCCCTCTCCTCCTCCTCCTCCTCCTACTCCTCCTCCTCCTCCTCCTCGTCCTCCTCCTCCTCCTCCTCCTCCTCCTCCTCCTCCCTGTCCTCCTCTTCCTCCCCTTCTTCCTCCTCCCTCCTCCTCCTCCTCCTCCTCCTCCTGCTCCTCCTCCCCCTCCTCCTCCTTCTCCTCCTCCTCCTCCTCCTCCTCCTCCTCCTCCTCCTCCTCATCCTCTTCCTCCCCTTCTTCCTCCCTCCTCCTCCTCCCCTCCTCCTCTCCTCCTCCTCCTCCTCCTCCTCCTCCTGCTCCTCCTACTCCTACTCCTATCTCTCCTATTCCTCCTCCTTCTCCCCCCTCCACCTGTGACACTGTCCTGGTCTCTATTCTTACCCTCTCCTCCTCTCCTCCTCCTCCTCCTCCTCCTCCTCCTCCTTATCCTTATCCTTATCCTTATCCTCCTCCTCCTCCTCCTCCTCCTCCTCCTCCTCCTCCTCCTCCTCCTCCTCCTCCTCCTCCTCCTCCTCCTCCTCCTCCTCCTCCTGCTCCTCCCCCTTCTCCTCCTGGAAGCCGGAAGCTGATGGCAATCATGTAATTTTGACGTTGCCATCCCTCCTCTTTTCCCTTCCCATCCACACCCTCCTCCTCATCCCCCTCGTCCTCCTTCCCCTCCCTCTCCCCCTTTTCATCCTCCGCTTTCGGGGAAAGGCCTCCCCTTCTGTCTCGAGGGTCGAGGCTCTTCGTTGGCTCGCACCTGTTCTTGAGCCGCCAGGGCCTCTGGCGGCCTCGGAAGGCCCAGGGCCTCCAGGGAGTTCCAAAATAGTTGGGGCATCCCTCTGGAGGTCATCGTCGTCCTCCTCTTCCGCGTCCACCTCCACAACCACCTCCCTTCTCCTCCTTGTGAGGGTCCGTGCAGTGCCCCTGAGGAGTGGGCTGGTGATTATTGCGAAGGACTTACGGCCAGTGCCGTCGACCCTGAAGTAGGACGACGACGATGACGACGACGACGATGACGACGACCACGACCACGACGAACGACGAACGACGACGACGACGACCACGACGAACGACGAACGACGACGACGACGACAACGGCGGCGGCGGCGACGAGGACGACAAGGACGACAAGGACGACGACGACGACGTCGGCCAGAGTCCTCAAAGATGCTTCTTGGGGTCTCTTCGGAGCGTTACCCTCGGGGGCCTCTGTTGGGCAGTTTAGGAGCCTCTTGGGGGCCTCTCGAGCTGTGCAGGGCAAGTGCTCTAACTCACGTCTTCCTCGCGCCTGAAGGCCTTCCGTCCCTGCAGGGGGTCGAGTGTCTCGGGGATGTGTTGGCGGGGCCAGTGCAGTGTGGGCTGTGAGTGGTCCGCATCTCTGCAGACATCATTTCGCCGGCTTCGTAGGTTAAGCCTCCTCTGGGTGCAACCGCGGGCGGAGTTACACGAGTTCACAGCGCCTCAGACATGAAGAGTTACAGCCAGTGCTTCGCTTGTGTCTGGACCCCTCGAGCTGGTAAGGAAGGAAAGCCTCATGGAGGCATCTTGGGGCTTCTGGGGGCCGTCTTGGTGGCCTCTTGTTGGGCCGTCTTGGAGTGATCTGAGGGGTACCACCACCACCACCTCCCACATCCCTCTCATGAGGGTCCGCGCAGTGCCCCTGCGGAGAGGGCTGGTGATGGTTTGTACAGCCGCCAGTCCCCACACTGGCGGCACCTCTGAATTGTGTGGGAAGTGATTCGGGTCTTGGTCATATCCGGAATGGCTTCAACTCTCCGAGAAACAGCCCAGGGTGCTCGAGCACCCACAGCACGCACCACTAGAATGTGTTGCAGAATGTCCGCCACCACCTCCCCTCTCGCACTTTCCGGCCTGAAAGCGGAGGGCCCTCGAAGATCTCCCAGCCATGGGCAGCTTCGAGCCAGGATCCGCCCACGAGATGGCTCTCGACTCCGTTTTGTTCGCCTTCTAGCCTGAGAGACAAGAGGCTCGGGCAGCGGCCAAGGCTCGACGCGTGCTCGTGCGCGTGCGCGTGCGCGTTTGCGTGTGCGTGTGCGTGTGCGCGTGCGTGTGCGCTGCGCGTGCGTGTGCGTATGCGTGTGCGTGTCCGTGTGCGTATGTGCGTGTGCGCGCGGGCGCGTGCGCGTGCGCGTGCGCATGTGCGTGCGCGTGCGCGTGCGCGTGTGCGGGTGCGTGTGCGTGTGGGTGTGCGTATGCGTGTCCGTGAGCGTGTGCGTGTCCGTGCGCGTGCGCATGTGCGTGTGCGTGTGCGTGTGCGTGTGCGCGTGCGTGTGCTTGTCTGCGTGCGCCTGCGCCTGCGCGTGCGCGTGCACGTGCGCGTACGCGTGCGCGTGCGCGTGCGCTTGTGCGTGTGCGTGTGCGTGTGCGTGTGCGTGTGTGTGTGTGTGTGTGTGTGTGTGTGCGCAGTCGCCCTCTGCCCAGCCGCCGACGCAAACGTGTGTGTGTTGTGTGGTGTGTGTTGTTTGTGTTGTGTGTGTTGTGTGTGTTGTGTGTGTTGTGTGTGTTGTGTGTTGTGTGTGTTGTGTGTGTTGTGTGTTGTGTGTGTTGTGAATTGTGTGTCTTGTGTGTCTTGTGTGTCTTGTGTGTGTTCTGTGTGCTGTGTGCGAGGTGTGTGTGTGTGTGTTGTGTGTGCTGTGTGTGCGCTGTGTGTGTGTTGTGTGTGCTGTGTGTGCGCTGTGTGTGCGTGTGTGCTGTGTGATGTGTATGTTGTGTGTTGTATGTTTTGTGTGTGTCGTGTGTGTCGTGTGTGTGTGTGTGCGTGTGTAAGTGTGTAAGTGTGTAAGTGTGTAAGTGTGTGTCCGTGTGTCTATTTGTGTCTCCCCCCCCCCTCGTTTCCCCTTCCCTTCTCGCGCTTTCCCCCTGCGTCCCCCCCCTCGCGGCTGCCTCCCCGCGAGGCGTGATGCGCCGCTCCCTATGGGTGAATCCGTTGACCCCAGGAACCCATGCTGCTTCTGAGTTGGGCTCCCGCGCGGTCTGCTTTCTTCGGCCATTCTCTTGACTTCGCCGCGGTGTTGCGCGCGTGGCCGCGACGCCAAAAAGTGTGTTGAGGGGGGAGGGCCCTGTCCGTGGGCCGTGGCCGGGGACGGAACAGTGCCAGGGGATAATTACACAGGGGCGTACCTACCCATCTATAACGTGTGGCACTACCAACAGGCCCGTCCACAACGAGTAAATCTTCGAAATGGCATAGTGTCCCGTGTGAAAGCTACCATGGTGGAGCTTGTTCATTGCTCACCAGACTTGGGTAGGACCGCACTGCGCTGCATCGCCCCAGAGCTTTCGCAAGTGGCGGCTCTTGCACAGTTGGCACAGCCCACGGAGGCGAGGTCTCGTTCGGGTTTGGGTAAGACCGCTCTCCGATGGACACCCAATCGACACTTGCATAGGCGGCACCACCCAGGGAGGGGAGGTGAATTCAGGGTCCGTTTAGGACCGCACCCCGCTGGACCCCCCACAAGCTCACGAAAGTGGCGACAGTTGCGTAGCTGAGGCAATCCAGGAAGGAAAGGTCTAGTGCAGGCTCTCTTCAGAACCACACTTTGCTGGACCCCCGCAAGCTTACGAAGGTAGGGCAATTGCACAGCTGGCACTACACACGGAGGCAAAGTCCAGTTTGGGTCTGAAGACGGCACCCCGTTGGACCCACCAGAAGTTTACGAATTTGGCGACAGTTGCGCAGCTGGCACCAACCACGGAGGCAAGTTCTAGTTTGGGCCTGGAGAAGACCATGCCCCGCTGGACCCCCCAGGAGCCCACGAAAGTTGCGACAGTTGCGCTGGTAGCACCACGCAGGGAGGCAAGGTCTAGTCTGAGTCTGAATAGGTCCGCTTTCCGCTGGATCCCCCACAAGCTCACGAAACTGGCGACAGCCGTGCGATTGGCACCAACAAGAAGAAAGTCGAGTTCTAGTCTGGGTCTTGATGGGGCCGCACTCCGCTGGACCGCGCGCGATGATCCCTAGTGTTGGCAACTTCAGGCCATGACCAACTACCAATGATGCTCGATTGCCTTCGGTGTCGTATCTTGCTTCGCCGGGACCCATAGGGTTATGCCTAAACGCAGGATTGCATCAAACAAGAGGGTCAAGCAGGGGGGTCGAACGAGGACGAAATGCAGCGATCGAAACGGGGGAATCGATCGGGGGAAAGGGGATCGAAGGGAGGGGATCTAACGGGGGAGCCCTTTCCCCACAGTCCTGCTGCTGCTCCTCCTCATCCTTGTTTTTTCTCCGCACATTCCTCCTTACTCCTCCTCCTCCTCCTCCTCCGCATCCTCCAACTGCTACGAAAACAACTACTCATCCTCATCTTAGCATCACGGTAGCGTCGAGGCGACAATTGAAGTTCAGGAGTTTCATTCGATATGTGTCAGTCTCCCTCTCTTCACCATCACCATCATCACCATCACCATCATCAGCAGCAGCATCATGATCGTCACCATCGTCATCATCATCATCATCATCATCATCATCATCAGCATCAGCATCATCAGCATCATGATGATGATCATCATCATTATCATCACCATCAGCAGCAGCATCCTCATATTCATCAGCATCATCCTCATCATCGTCATCGTAGTCGATCACAATCAGCATCAACATCAGCATCATGATCGTCCTCATCGGTATCATCGGCATCGGCATCGGCATCGTCATCATCATCATCATCATCATCATCATCATCATCATCATCATCATCATCATCATCATCATCATTACCAGAATCAGCATCAGCAGCATCAGCAGAAGCATCATCATGATCGTCGTCAGCAGTATCATCATCGTCGACATCATCAGCATCATCACCAGCATCATCATCGGCAGCATCATCAGCAGCATCATCATCAACCTCATTGCCATCGTCATCGTCATCCTCATCATCCATCACCCATCATTGTCATCACCATCAACAGCATCATACTCATCCGCATCCCCATCATCATATTGTTCAGTCATCCCCTCCTCCCCATCGTCCCTCCCCCATCCTTATTCCCTACCTAGGCTCTGCCTAGAAGGGTTCTTACCCTGTTGGCTTAAAGGGCCGGGCAGTGGAACCCGCCCCGGGCGGTTCCCCCAGGATCCGCCCCGCGGTTCCCCCAGTCCCCTGGGAGCTTTAGCTTTAGTTTTAGTTTAGCTTTAGCTTATCTTTAGCTTAGCTTTAGTTTAGCTTTAGCTTAGCTTTAGCTTAGCTTTAGGTTAGCTTTAGTTTTAGCTTAGCTTTAGCTTAGCTGTAGCTTAGATTTAGCTTAGCTGTACCTTAGCTTTAGCTTAGCTGCTGCTTAGCTTTAGCTTAGTTTTCCCTTAGCTTTACCTTCGTTTTAGCTTAGCTTTATCTTAGCTTTAGCTTAGCTTTAGTTTAGCTTCAGCTTAGCTTCAGCTTAGTTTCAGCTTAGCTTTAGCTTAGCGTTAGCTTTAGTTTAATTTTAGTTTAGCTTTAGCTTAGCTTTAGCTTAGCTTTATTGTTACTACTAATGCTGCTTTCCTAGGGGCTCCAACTCCTAGGTAGGGTCGCACTGGGATAATTGTCCTCCCACCTCGTTATCCTCCTCCTCCTCTTCCTCTTCCTCCTCTTCCTCTTCCTCTTCTTCCTCCTCCTCGTCCTCGTCCTCTTCCTCTTCCTCTTCTCCTCCTCCTCCTCCTCGTCCTCATTCTCCTCCTCCTCCTCCTCCTCCCCCTCCTCCTCCTCCTCCTCCTCCTCCTCCTCCTCCTCCTCCCTGCTCACTGCTCACTGCTCATGTCCGTTTCCCCCCCAATCCTATCTCTTCCTCCCCCCCCCTCCCTCCCCCCCTCTCCCTCATTCGTCGCCGCGTTCCCCCCGCGGCCGCCGTCGGGGTCTCAGGCCCGCGGCTGTGCCTGCCGCTCCGCGACGCGGAGGCCATCTTCTACCAGGCTCCCCCCCCCTCCCCCGGTCAGCCTTCGCGCGGCCTCCTGGAGAGGGCAAGGAGCTGCTAGGAGGGCTGGGTGCACGGCAGGTTCGCATCGTGTCGACGGGCGGCTCTCCCGCCGCTGGTGTTCAACGCTGGACGCCGCCGGCGACCCAGAATCGGTCGATGTTGGACGATCTGACGTTTCGGAAATGGCCGATCGTTCCAGGTTGAACGATCCCCGCGGTGTCAGGAACCAGCGCAGGGGCTGGCACGACACGAACCTGCAGCACGCTCAGAGGAGCGCCGCCGTGGGGCGCGTTAGACTGAAAGGGGGACCAAGTTACCCCCCCCCCTCCGTCCCAGAGGGCGGAGGTTGCCCTCCTTCCCCCCGTTTGGAGGCAGCAGGGGTCTCATTTGTCCACAGGGGAAGGGCTTCGGAAGCTCCCCATCCACCCCATCCTTGCGAAGACGCGGGCCCCCTTTACAGGGAAAGATGGCTTCGGAGGCGACCCCCACCCCTGCTCCGGAGCCGTCGGACGAAACCTCGCGCGATGCCGTCAGCCCAGAGACTTGGCGGTCAGAGGCTTCCCCCCTTGGTTTTGGAGAGAGTTGGATGCGCGTGTGGCCGCACGTTTCTCCAGCGCCCAGTTCACGCATGGCGGGGTGCGCCGGCCCTCGTCTGGCGCGCTTCCAGCGCGCGGCCTCGGCACATTGCCCCTCCTCACCCAGCCCTCCTTCACCCTCCAGGTGTATTCGAGCTGCTCTCGAAGGAGAAAAAACGCCATAAACATAAATGTTAGCCCGCGTGGACCCCAAACAGTAGGTTCTTGCAGTCTACGTCGTGCTATCTACGCGGTGAAACATCTACAATGCAGTCTATGCGATGCAATCTCCGTGGTGCAACCTATGTGGTGCAATCTACGCGGTGCAACCTAAGCAACGTAGTCTATGTGGTGCAATCTACGTGGTGCAATTACGCGATGCAATTTTTGTAATTCACCATATACAGTGCAATATATGCGGAGCAATCTATGTGGCACAATCTACGCGGGGCAACCTATGTAATGCAATCTATGCGGTGCACTCTATGTGGTGCAATCTACGTGGTGCAATCGATCATTTGCTCAGTGTGAAGCTATCCTTTCCACTGCTCGTGCAAACATCCCACTCTCCCACCCGCAACTTGGTCGCAAGACCTCTTAAGACCGTGACAGTAGGTACCGAATGGCACTTGGCAACGACACCAACGCCGACGACGGCAGCGACAACGACGACGCCGACGACGCCGCCGACAACGACTACGACGATACCGACGGCGTCTCCAACGACTTCGACGACGGTGACAGCGACGACGACGACGACGACGACGACGACGACGACGACGACGACGACGACGACGACGACGACGACGACACCGACGACACCGACGACACCGACGACGACGACGACGCCGACGACGCCGAGGCTAGACAAAAAGAGCTACGACGCTTTCCTGAGCGCCCCCGGAGCCGAGGAACGAGCCTTGCTGCGCTCCTGCGGCGGGCCGCACGCGGCAGGCTGGCAGCTCGCCCACGGCGGGCCTCGGCAGCGGCTGGAGGACGCCGACTACTACGACTACTACGCCACCGCGCGGGCGCTGCTCGGGCAGGACGCGGCGCCGGCCAACGCCCGCTGCGAGAACCGCTACCGCACCGGCGCGAGGGCCGGCCAAGCTTGCGGACAGCCGCGCTGCCGGAAGGCGCGCCACGCCTTCGGATGCGCCTGCGGCGGCGGCTTGAAGGCGAGGAGCCGAGACGTGGAGGACGCCTGGGAGCGTATCCACCAGGACTGCGGCTTCCGCACCACACGCCAGGTGCCCGTCCCTGCGTGGGATAGGTGGCACTGGCGCTGCTCCTCCCCGGCCTGCGCAGCCCGCGGCACTGCCGACGCCCCGCCGGCCGGGCCCTGCACGCGCTGCGGCACAGCGCTCGGGTCGGAGCGGGAGGAGGCGCTCCTGGACCTCGAGGCGCAAAGAGGAGACCGCCCGAGGCTCCTCGCGGATGTGACAGTCCGCTACTGCGTCCCTGCCGACGACGAGCGCCTCGCCGCCTCTCTGCCCTGCCCGCCCTGGACACGATCGTTTGCACAGTTTGCAACATTTATCCTTCAGAGCAGCGCCGCAGATGGCGGACAATAATCGCGTTTTTGTTTTATGGCTCAAGAACTGCTTGCGCAGCTAAAGAAAATCGGCATGTCATGTCCCGGTCGGATCGCCGACCGGGACACGACACTGGGGGGTCGGGGAGCGGAGACCGCCCCTTTCTCAAATGTCCCAGTCGGCGATCCGACCGGCGATCCAACAGCTTCATTGATGAAGGGCGGCGTTGTTTCAAAATGTAGTGTTCGCTTCAGCGCCGCGCGCATTTTTTGAAAGTTTGCAACACTTTCAAAGAGTCGCGCGTTCGAAGTCCCAGGAATGGTGTTCTGGCAATGTTGTGGATTGCCAAGAACGCAGCAGTCATGTCGATTTGCGGTGTTGAAGTCCCAGGAATGGTGTTCTGGCACGGTTTGGGACTGTCAGGGCGCAACAGTCACGTTGATTCGCGACGCTGAAGTCCCAGGCATGGTGTTTTGGCACGATTGAGCATTATCAGACGTTTGTTCTCCAATGGGCATTTCCCGCACTGAACACAAATCCTTGCACGGCCCTGTGACGAGGGAACTTGGAGGGAGGATGTACTGCGACATCGCTTGTACGTCTTAGGTTTGCACCGGTCCTCCTCTTACTCCTCCTTCTCCTCCTCTTCCTCATCATCATCAGCAGCATCACCATCATCCTCGGAAGCGGCGCGCCTTCCCCCAGGTGTTCCAGCAGTCCGGCCGCGCGGACACTGGTGAGGCGGGCCTCGACGAGCTCGGCTTCCTGCGTTGGCTCCTTCGGGCTGGGCTGCGGCGGGACACGGCGGAGGCCCCTCGGCGCCGCTGGGCGCTGCGACGAAATCGGAGGACGAGGGAGGAAATGGGAGGATGAGTAGCGGGAGGAAGGGGAGGAGGAGGAGGAAGAGGAGGAGGGATAAGCAGGAGGAGGGGGAGGAGGAGGAGGTTGACGGAAGATGAGGAGAGGGGGGGGATTCTTTATCTCCCTTCCACTTCGTTTCCCCCTACTGTCTGCTCCTCTCCCACTCTCCGCACTGGGGCGCCACCCGCCTGGTCGGTCCTAGCTGGTCTGAGCATTGTGTGCTGAGTAACGGCGAGGGTCAACTCCAAGAAACTTTCCCTCTCTCCTTTTGTTTTCCCGCCCTTATGTGCCCTCCTCCTTTGTCGCGCGGGCCGAGGCTGAGGAGGACGACAAGGAGTGCATCGCGTGGGTGCCTTCGCCGCTTCCTGCGCCCACGTTTGTCTGCGCGCCCCGTCATCCTTTCTACGTCACGCAGTCGTAATGGTTATTGCTGGGAGAGCGGTAGGGGGAGGAAGGGAGAACGAGGACGAGGATGACAAGGCAGGGAAGAAGGAGAGGAAGTTGGAGGAGCAGCAACAGCAGCAGCAGGAGGGAGAGGTGGAGCGGAAAATCAGGAGAAGGTGGAGGAGGAAGAGGAGGAGTAAGAGGAGGAGGACATGGTAGGATCTGAAGGGGGACGAGGGAAACGGGTCGCGGTTGAGGGGGAGGAGGAGGAGGAGGAGGAGGAGGAGGAGGAGGAGGAGGAGGAGGAGGAGGAGGAGGAGGGAGGACGGGGAGGACGAGGAGGAGGAAGAGGAGGAGGAGGAGGAGGAGGAGGTGGAGGAGGAGGAGGAGGAGGAGGGGGAGGACGAGGACAGATGGTGCCAGCGCGTGGGGCCCCAGTCTGGCAAGATTCGCGCGAGGAGTGCGCAGAGAGCCCCCGGCGTGTGGACCTCTTCCTATGTGGGAGGCTCGGGAGGTGCGCCTCTGCCGTCCGCTCCCGCCGCCCCAGCCGCCGCCTCTCCTGGTCCGTCTCTCCTCCTCGCTCGCTCTGCCCCGGGCCCGCGCCGACTGCGACCGCCACGCTGCTGCGCACACGGCCGCCGACGGGAAAAAGCGAAAAACCCTGGAACCGTGGGAGGCAAGACGCTCGCGGCCAGGCCCTGGCAGCCAGGGCCAGGGGGGGCGTGAAGCCGCAGGGAAGCCGTTCAGGGCTAGGCCACGGGAGTTCACGGGAGATCACGGAGAGCCACAGAGGGCGTGGCGGCACGCAGGATTGGTCCCGCCTTGTGAGGCCTGACGTCACGGGGAAGGCATGGGAGGCCGAGCAGCCATTGGGAAGGCGTGTGCCACGCAGGGCCGATGGGAGAGGAAGCCATGGGAAATTCATAGTTGGCCAAGCCATGGGACGCCCTGGGAGGCCAAGCAGCCGCTGACACACGGGCAGCACGCAGGGCCAGCGGGGCAGAGGGAGGCCACAGGAGACCGAGCAGCCATTGGAAAGCGTGCGACGTGCAGAGCCGGCTCAAAACGGCGCTTGGCGGGGGGGGGGAACACGTAGGAAGAAGAGGTCGAGGAGGAGGAACAGGCACAGGATGCAGAAGAGGGCCTTGACAAACGTAGTCCATCAACGTAGCATCATACGATGGTGCCCATGTTTGAGGCGCTCATGGATTGGGCCGGCACGCCAAGGCTATGATGGCCGTCATCGGGGTGCGCATTGTATTGTGGGGGCGTTCGGTTAGGGATGCGCCCAGGAGACGTCAGACCTTGGAGGAGTTCGTATCTGATGAGGCTGGTTTGGGTATCCATGGTCAACCCTCAGTTGGTGTTTCACCAGCTTTCAGACCCTGGATTCCGAATCCAAGGGGGGTCCTTCTCCAATGCCCTCAACGACTTTACACGTGCGTGGGACAGCCGACTGGCGATAGTCTGAGGTTCTGCCTTGGATTGGCGTTTCACCTGCATCCGTCCTTGCCCCCCAGATGGGCAGGAGCAGGACAGGCAGGTGGGAGGAGAAATAGAGAATATATGAGGAATGAAGAGAAGGGAGGAGTGAAAAGGAGGAGCAGGAGGAGGAGGAGGAGGAGGAGGAGGAGGAGGAGGAGGAGGAGGAGGAGGAGGGAGGAGGAGGAGGAGGAGGAGAAGGAGGAGGAGGAGGAGGAGGAGGAGGAGGAGGAGGAGGAGGAGGAGGAGGAGGGAGGGAGGAGGGAGGAGGGAGGGAGGAGGGAGGAGTGAGGAAGAGGCGGAGGGCGAGCTGGAGGAGGAGGGTAAAGATGGCTAGGGAGAAGAAGGTAGGACTAGGACAACCAGGGTAAGGTGAGGCGGCCAGGGAGGAGGAGGAGGAGGAGGAGGAGGAGGAGGACGACGACGACGACGAACGCTACGATCCCAGCTGATCTAAGTTTGCCGAACGTCAAGAGGAGAAGGAGGAGGAAGAGGAGGAGGAGGAGGAGGAGGAGGAGGAGGAGGAGGAGGGGAGCTGAAGGAGGGAGGACGAGTGGGCGTAGACGAGGAACGGGAGGAGCATCCGCCCAGGCGCGCACCAGCGCGGAGAAGTGCTTGGAGTCTTTCTTCGACGATTACTTAACAGCGCACGGTTGCCAGACGCCCCAAGACGAGTTGCATAGAACGCTTTCGGACGCAGGCGCGCTCGAGGAGGAACGCGATGAGAAGGAAGAGGATCAGAGTAAGCCCAAGATGTATGTACGATGCTGCAGCGCACCCTCCCGTCCCGAGTCCCCTCCCCCCAAGTCCTTACAGGCATGCCCTTTCACTGCCCGAAGCACCCCCATTGAAAGACAGGGCCCCATGCGCCCGCGGTTCAGGCGTGAGCTCCGCTCTGAAGAGCACTTGCCATCCATCGTTGGAACTATAAGGAACGCGACAAGGCGGGAGCATCATATCAAAGGAGGCCTACAGCGGCAGCCTCGCTGTGGGAATGAACTGCCCTCCAGGCCATTAAGCATAAAGAAAAGTCACGCGAGAGTCCCATCTTAAAAAAGGGCCGCCCTCCATCCGTGCAATTGCTGCACATGTTTCAACGCCCAGTGATACGCTGTGAGTTGAAGCTCTGGCAAGAGCCCATTTCGAAAACGATTCGCACTCCACCCGTGTAACTGTTAACGACGAGTGTGCGCGGCGACAAGGCGAGAGTCCCATTTTGAAAACGGCACGCCCACCATCAGTTCAACTCTTGGAAATGCTAGGGTTCAAGATCGTTAACGGTGAGGACGTCTCAGGCGAAACTTCCGGCCCGCCCTAACGACAGGTTTGGTGGCACGACGAGGAGAAGTTGTTATAAGAACGAGGGATGGAAGAGGGAGGGGAGGGGCAGGGCGGAGAAGAGGGGCGGACAGGAGATATGGAAGGCAGAAGAGAAAGAGAGAGCATGAAGAGGAGGATGCCACGAAAATCCTTCCGGTTGCGACGACGGTTTGATGAGCCGCGTCATGCGTACAATTAACAGACAGCAGCGTTGATTTGAATGTTGGTGGAGGCGTCAGGTCGTAGGCCCGTTGTTTGCGCGTCGAACGGGCAGGGTGTAAAACAGTTTGGCACATGACAGAATGGGCATTGGATTGCGAAGCGAATCTTGTGAGGAGCGCTTAGCAAATGTTGTCGACACAGGGGTGAAGCACTGTCCAGATTGTGGGCTCGCATTCCAAACGACGGCGGTTGGGCTCGTGCATGCCAGACCCGGACACCAGTCGCCCTTGCGGGGAAATCTCTCCTTCCACATATGCAGACGAAATTGGCAGCCTCAAAGACGAGTGTGCGGAACCATGCGGGAGAAGATCGGCGAATTCGTTCCTAGTGCCTGCGTTGATCGGGACCCGCAAAGATTTGTGGAGGTCGAAGGTATTGAGCTTGGAAGGTGTGCACGGCGCTGTTGCTTCTGGCACCCCACCCGCTGCTCAAGCCCGACCAAAAGGAGATGAACGGTTGTGAGCCCGAATTAACTATTTTTCTATATATAAACAAAAAACAACAACAACAACAACAACAACAACAACAACAACAACAACAACAACAACAACAACAACAACAACAACAACAACAACAAAAAACGTGGTTATGGTTTTAGGTGTGCATTCGGCCGGGATGGGACGCGACCGTTTTCCGTACGGGTGGCGAGGAATGCATTGAAAATGTTTCAAGCAGGGTACAGACCACGAGTGCCATCTTTCATGTTCTGTCGGCCAGCTATGGAGATGAGCCAGGACGGGCTTCACGCTCACCAGAACAATCTAGGGAAGAAAATCACAAAAGACAATCTAGAGAATAGCAAGGTTTGGCAGACGCCTCGAGCGCGATCCAGAGCGCTGCCCGCTGCCCGCTGCAAGTGCAAGCCGTAATATAATTGCGCGCTGGCGAGGACCAGAACGTCTCGCTTGGAACGGCTGCGCTTGCACAGGGGGAAGGTCCAGTAAAGTTCTTTGCAAGTGTTGCCCCTTGCGAGTGGAAGGAGGAAGAGGAGGAGGAGAAGGAGGAGGAGGAGGCAGGGGAGGTGGAGAAGGTGGTACTTGCGACCGCTGCCCGTCTCGGGTCGAAGCTCTTGCTCGGAAGAGCCGCGCATCCAGCGAGTCGAAGTTGTCGCATTCGGTGCGCGTGCGCGCCCCATGTGGCATTCAATTCGGCTCTCGACAGCCTGAGATGCGTCCGTGCGCGTGCAGGCCCCAAGGCAGGCGCTCGAGCTGCTTGCGAGCACCCGTGGGCGACGTTCGATCGGTGGTTGTCGAGATGCCTGGCTCGAGCAGGACCTCATCTCCCCCGCTCCTCCTTCCTCTCCTCCTCCTCCTCCTCCTCCTCCTCCTCCTCCCTCCTCCTCCTCCTCCTCCTCCCTCCTCCTCCTCCTCCTCCTCCCTCCTCCTCCTCCTCCTCCTCCTCCTCCTCCTCCTCCTCCCCTCCTCCTCCTCCTCCTCCTCCTCCTCCCCTCCTCCTCCTCCTCCTCCTCCTCCTCCTCCTCCTCCTCCTCTCTCCTCCTCCTCCTCCTCCTCCTCCTCTCCTCCTCCTCCTCCCTCCTCCTCTCTCCTCCTCCCCCGCCTCCGCCTCCGCCTTCCCCCCGCCGCTCCCTCAGCCAGTTCTGCGCCAGCCCGCCCCCCTCTTCTCCGCCCCCGACCCTCGCACCCCCTCCCACCACCCGCAGTACCACCCCTCCCCGCTCTCTCACGCGATCGCTCGCTCACCCACTCCTCCGCACCCTCCCCCCTGGGGCATTCGCCTCGTTCGGACGTGTGCTCTTTCTCTCGGCGAGGACCATCGAGGAGCATCCTGGATCATCTGGCGAAAAAACCACGCACGAAGCCAGAAAAATGCACGAGGAATGGATGTTCGAGCGATAGCATGTTGGACCCCTCAGAGGCTTGCGTTGGCTTATGCCTCCAGAGGACCTCTGGCAGAGGCCCCCATGGGGACCCCAGAGCTGACCAGAGCTATATCAGACTGCCCGAGGTGTCGTTGCCCCTAGGGCCTGCTTCCCAATCCTATTTTCGGAAACTAGGGTCTCTGGCGACCAGTCGGGACGATCTGGGCCCCCCCCAGACATCCGCGGCATGAAGGCCTTCCCTAGGCCTGCCCTAGGCTACCCCTGGGAGGTAGGCCGTCCCTAGAACTGCCTAAGCCCCTCCTCCCCCCCACCCAGACGTCCGCGGCATCCTCGAGAGCCACGAGCACTTGCTGCGGGGAGTGTTTGAGGCATACGCAGGCGCGCCTGGTGGCGCCGCCGACCTCAGCCTCGGCACGCCCCGGGGCCGCTCGCCGCGACGGCCGCTGGGGCGCGGCTCGCCTGGGCGATGCTCGGGCGCGCCCCTTTGCGAGGATGGGAAGACTCTGAGATCCGGGCGTTTCGACTACACGTCAGAGTGACCCTTCGCCAGAGTGACCCCCCGATCGCTGGACGTGATGCGAGACAGCAGCGGCCTACGCGCTTGGGTTTAGCCCCCTCGCGCCCCTCAAAAGCCGCGCACCAAAGGTCACTCTTGCCTAGGGTCACGCTTACGCCCAGCCAAGCGTCGCATCTTTTTCACACGGGGCGTGTTCGACTGGCTCCGGGCCCTGGGACTATCACAGATCGATCTGGCTCGGAACAGATGTTGCAGAGAGAGACGGGGTCTAGGGCTCCGGTCGTAATTTTTCGCAGTTTTGGACGCCCGAAACGGGCACGCACAAAATGGGCACGATGCCTAACCGCAAGTGTTGTCCAAAACCGACGGCGGCCGTTGTTGGGCGGGCGGTCTTCTGTCTCAAGTGGACAACGTCCGTGGCAGCGCGAACAGAGAGCCTTGTTCAGAATGAGCAGGTACTGCTGTTGGGCATCGTATACATTCTTTCCGTACCCATTTCGTTCGTGCCGCGTGGTGTTGCGGTTGTTTTGCAACGTCGGATCTCAGGGGAGAAGCAGGGGGGGAGGGGGGGAGGCGGCGGGAGGGCTCGGAGGCGCCCGGAGAAGCGGCGGAGGCAGCAGTGGGAGGGGCACGAGGAGCAGCACGAGAGCGGGCGCTGGAGGGGGCGTGGCGAGAGGGAGGAGGAGGAGGAGAGAGAGGAGGAGGGGAGGAGGAGGAGGAGGGGAGGAGGAGGAAGGAGGAGGAGGGCGGAGGAGGGGAGGAGAGGAGGAGGAGGAGGAGGAGGAGGAGAGGCGAGGAGGGAGGCGAGAGGAGGAGGAGGAGGAGGAGGAGGAGGAGGAGGAGACGGAGGAGGAGGAGGAGGAGGAGGAGGAGGAGGAGGAGGAGGAGACGGAGGCGAGAGGAGGAGGAAGGAGGAGGAGGAGGAGGAGGAGGAGAGAGGAGGAGGAGACGGAGGAGGAGGAGGAGGAGGCGAGAGGAGGACAGGAGATCGCGCCTTTTTCATTTCGCCTCCCCTCATTTGCCCCGCTCGTGTCTAGCCGAAACGGTCCCCTTACCCCTCATTAATTGTCTCTGTTGCCTCCCTCACTCTGCCTAGCCATTCCTCCCCCCCGGGTCCGCTCCGCCTTCCCATCCACCCCATCTTCCTCCCCTTCTCCCTGCCGCTGAGCCCCCACATGCCGCCACATACCTTATTATTCCGCACCTGCTGCCTGCCCCCACCCCCACCCCTCCCCATCCATCCTAGTTTTCCTCAACCTCTAGTCGCGTTCCTACTGAACTCCCCCCTCGCTCTGCGTCTAACCAGTACCCTCGCGTCCTACCCCCCCCCTCCCCCATGCCGCTCCTCACCGAGGACAGGAGGGGAAGATGGGAGGGATGAGAGGGGGCAGAGGGAGGGATGCAGGAGGAGGAGGAGGAGGAGGAGGAGGAGGAGGAGAAGGAGGAGGAGAAGGAGGGCAGGAGGAGGATAGGGAGGATGAGGACGAGGACGCGGCGGGAAGGAGGGGAAGAGCGAGGAGACGGAGGAGGAGGAGGACGAGGACGAGGAGGGCGAGGACGAGGACGGGGAAGAAGACGAGAAGAGCAAGAGGAGGAGGACGACGGCGAGGAAGAGGAGGAGGCAGCAGCAGGGGCGGGAGGAGGACCGAGAGGAACGGCAGGAGCAGGAGGAGTGGACGACGCACCGGGGGGTCGCGCCCGAGCGGTACTCCACCAGCCACGCGCCAGGGGGAAGGCTGGGCGAGCCCTCCTTGGGGCAAGGCGGCTCAATGGGTCGCAGAGAGGGCCGTCGGACAGCCCAGCAGGGCCCCAAGAGGGCTCCAAGAGACTCCCCAAGAGGGCCCCGAGAGGCCAAAGTCATCGACTGCGCTGAGGCTTCTGACTGATTGTAGGTCCTGTCGCCTCTTCGGGCTTCCAGCGCTCCACGACGGCCCAGGAAGGCCACCAAGACTGCCCCCGAGAGGGCCCAAGAGACCCCCGAGAGGGGCGCCCTCCGCCTCGGCTCCTGGCGAACGAGGGCGCCTCGAAATCCTCGTCAGAACACACCCCGGGAGAGAGGTCCAGGGATCAGCGGTGTCGGTGCCTGTTGGTTCCCCCCCCCCGGGAAAGATGGGCCTGGCCCGGCAGGGCGACAGGACGCGCCGCATTGGCATCGCAAGCCTTTCGGCCCAGGCGTCTGCGCCCAGCTTCGGGCCCCGGGGCGGCCCTCCTCGCAGATCGGTCCAACTCGAGAAATGGCGGAGAAAGACGGGGTCCAGAGCTCCAGTCGCGATCTTTCGCGATGTCGCAGGCTCTTCGCAACTTCGGACCTCAGTGGAGGGGGAGAAGGAGAAGGGGGGAACATGAGGAGTGGGGGGAGCAGGAGGAGTGGGAGCAGAAAGTGGAGCAGCAGCAGCAGCAGCAGCAGAAGGAGGGAGAGGGGGAGGGGGACGAGTGAGAGGGGGAGGAGGCAGAAAGAGGACTGGGAGTTACTCCTGTCTGCTCCTCCTACTGTAGGAGGAGCAGACAGGCTGGGAGGAGGAGCACCAAATTGCGGAGAGGGGAGCGGATAGGATGGTGATAGGGAGAGGAGCGGAAGAGAGGAGAAGGGAGAAGGGAGGGATGAAGAGTAGGAAGGAGGGACTAGGATGTGGGGGGAGGGAGGGAGGAAAGGAGTAGAAGGAAGAGGAGGAAACAAGAACAAAAAGAACGAGGGAGGGAGAGGGATGGGGAGGAGGGAGTGAGGAGGCGGTGAGGGGGAGGATCCCCCCCACCCCCATGCAGGCTCCAGCGCAGGCGTTTTGGTTAGTTCTTCGCTCCGATTCGTATGCGGTCGTTGCAAGCTCAGCTGCCTGATCCGTATACAAGCTGCTGTCGATGTAGAAAGAAACGACAAGCATGCGCAGGAGAGAAGGGAGGCGTGAGGAGGAGTTGGAGGGGGAGGAGCAAGAGGAAGAGGAAGAGGACAAGGGTAGGGGAGATGGTGGAAGGGAAGGGTGGAAGGGACGCAGGAGAAAGGCCAAAGGGAGGAGGCTGGACCAGCGAAGCAGCAGGGCGTGGAGGCAAGACGCAGGAGGCAGGAGGAGGCAGCACGGAGAGGCCCGCGCGAAACCTCCCCAGCGCCCGACGTCCTGCAGCCGCCGCCGCCCGCCGCCCGGCGCGCGACCTCTCCGGCGCCGCCGCCCACCTGGGCGGCTGCCACGGAGAGGCCGCCGGACGAGATGCGGGAGGACACCGCGGGATGGCGGGGCCGCCCCGCCTCCTCCCCAGACCTCCAAGGGCACTGGAGGATGGAGAGTTCCACTCGGGGGCGTCTCTCCGGCTTCGGCCCCCGTGGGCCCTCGCCCGGCCCCCTGGGCTGGCGGAGAGCGAGTCAGGAGGCAAAGCCGGCCCTGGGGAAAGGGTGGGGATTTTTTCCATGACTGAGAACTCAGGTAACCTTCTTGGCACAATAGCTGTGCAACGGCTTAATGAACATGTCGCGGAATACCTCTTAGAGGTTGTGAACATGTCAAAACATGTCAAAAAGTGGGGATTTCTGGGAGGGCCGCACTGACAAGCAATATATATATACACACATACATATACATTCAGGCGGACTGGCAGGAAGGTCAAGCCGACAATTTAGCGATCACTCCTTTTCTGGCATCGCCGCTAGAATAATGTTATTCGTTATCCTTCCTCCATGCTTCTTTTTCCTCATGCTCGCCATGCCCTGCGCATTCTCCCCATCCTCCTCAGCTCTTTTTTGCGGAGGCTCCTCCTTGGAGAGCCTCTGGGGGCCTCACAAAAGTTGTTTCAGGCTTTCTTAAGGCCTTCTGGAGGCCTCCTGGGCGTGTTTTGGGAGCCTCTGGGGGCTTCCTCGGGCCACCCTGCCTCCAACCGCGGTCTCCCTGAACGACCGGGTCACGATTTGGAATGCTTCGGAGGGCGTCTTAGGGGCATCTTGGGCTGCCATGGGGCTCTCTGAGGGCCATCTTGGACCCCTGTTGTGCCGTTTTGGGGCTCTCTTGGACTGCCTGGAAGCCCTTCGGATGGTTATGGGGCGATTTGGGAGCCTCCCAGGCGGCTTCGGACGCCCAGAAGACCGCCGTCTTGGAGCGTCGGGAAGCCGAAAAGAGGAGAACCCCAAAATAAACCAAAAACCATCAAAATCAATGATGTTTGCCTCTTGGGGCCTTCTTGGGAGTGCTCTTGGAGGCCTCTTGGGACGTTTCGGGAAGATCTTTGGGGGTATGACGGCTTCTTGGGGGTCGTCGTCGACCGTATTGGGGCTCTCTGGGGTCGCTTCGGGAGCGCGTCACGTCCTGCGAGGCTGGGGGGGGCCGCTTCGAGGCCCGTCCGGATCCGAGGGTCCCTAAGCCCCAGATCCCGGGAGTCCGGTTTTGGGGGGGGGGGGGGGGGGGGGGACGGGTTTTCCCCCCGCCCGGGCTTGCAATAATATAGAAAGAGGAATAGAGAGAGAGAGATGTACACATAGACATATGCATGTATGACTAGATCTCATTGCTCTGCCTCCTCGCCCTCCTCGTCGCCCCCCCTCCTCGCGTGCCCCTGCTCGCGGAGGCGGGGGGGGGCCGAGCACGCGCCGGCTCCCTGAGCGGGCCCGTGCCCCCGCGGGAGCCGGGCCAGGCCCGGCGGGTCCAGGGCGGAGGTGCTCGTTCAGGACAGGCCAGCCACAACTGGGGAAGCTGTGGTCCTTTCCCCCCTGGGGGACCCATCGATTTCGACACCCCTCTCGAGAGATCGTCGATGCGATGGGTTCCCCCAGGGGGGTAAGGACCTCAGCTCCCCCAGTTATGGCTGGTCGGCCAGGCCAGGCGGGTCCAGGACGGAGGTGCTCGTGCAGGAGCGCTGCGGAGCGGCCGCGGCGCCCGCCGCGTCCTGCGAGGTGAGGCACCACAGCTCTCGGGCTTGGCATCGCTCGGACGTTTGCATCTTTTCCTTCGGCGAGGACCTTCGAGGAGCATCCTCGACCATCTGGCGAAAAAACCACGCACGAAACCAATAAAAACACATGAAATGGACGTCCCAGCGATGGCCAGCGGGGATGGACAGACCTCCTGCCCTGACACGTCGATTAGGGACTTGGCCGTTTTCGGTTCGCGAGGGGGCGTCGCGGCCGTCATGTTTGCGTGACCAGGTCCGTCGGTTTTGGTCCTAGGCCGTTTTCACTGAAGGGTGGTTTACTAAAGGGAGGTTCGTCCACCGCCGGAGCTCGTTCTGATCACAGCCGGACCGAGGTGTAAGATCGAGGTCGATTCGGGGAGGGTGCCCCCGTGTTCTTCGTGTTTTCTTGGATGTTGTTGTGCACCTTGGGGAGGGTACCCTTGGATGTTCTGCTTGTCTTGGCCGACGGAGGGTCTCATGTTCTTGAGGGGTGTTCTTCTGGTTTAGGTCCGACTGCACGTCCTTTGAGATGAAGCACCACAGCTGTCTTGGGACAGAAAGGCGCGCGATGTTTCATAGCCGGAGGCGGCGATAGGGGCGAAGAGTCCAGGGGCGGGCATTGTACGTATCCCTCCAGGAGCCTCGCAGAAGGGAGGGACCATCGGCGCTCCTGGATACATGTATTGCTCTCCCCTGGGCGACTCGCCCCCATCGTCGCCACCGACATGACACCGCGCGCTTAGTGTGGCTGCCAGCCGTCATGGGAAAACGTGTGGTGCCTCATCCCAAGCGTTTTTTACATGACTGTCAGACCAGCCAGCTCTCAGAGACCGCCCTCGCAGCTGTTAGGACTACCTTACTAGGGCTGGGATGTTGCGGTGTCTAGACGTGCGAAATGATTGACAAATGTAGAGCCGTAGACGCACCCAAACCATTGGAGTCGGTTAAAAGGGGCACAGGAGTGGAGGACGCATTACCAGGCGACGAAGAGGAGGAACAGGGAGGCAAGGTCAGGGACCAAGAGGAAGCATGCATAACATGAGTGCGATGTCAACTGCGACCACGGCAACAACTGGCAGAACCGAGTCACGGAGCACATCAAGCAGCAGGCAAGTTGGATGCAAAAATGTGTGATTAGTAGAGAAGGAAGGGCCCAAACGATGAAGTCACAGTACCAGTGAGGGACCAGGCGAGCACCATGGGAGCCCAGCGGGCGGAGGCGGCTGCCGCGCGTGGGGCGGGTGGTCCCTCTGGCACCAGTTCTCCGGTCTTGCTGCTCCCCTTATCCGTTCTGCACGGCGAACGCATCGGGCCGATCGAACTCGGTACGGAAAGAATGGGCACAAAGGCCGACAGAATCCGTTGATCTTGTTGGGCAGGACCCGCTGTCGGTGTCGCCGCGGTCGTGTCCCTTTGGAGACAGAAGGCCTCCTGCCCAACAGCGGCCGTTGTCGGTTTGAGAGTAGGGGTGGCAAGGGGCAGGGAGCGCGCGCCGCAGGGGTGTGGCTCAGATCGCACAATTACGTCATCCATCGTCTTCGTCATCCGTCCTTTCCTTCCTGCACCACTTCCTGTTCACAATTGCTGCCTCTGTGCTCCTCCCTCCTTCACTTCCTCCTTGGACAGCATTTGTTCTTGGGCATCGTACCCATGTTTTCCGTCTCCATTCCAGGCGTCCAAATCGTCAAACATCAACCAAGGTGTTGTCCCCTTCGTCGCGCAGGGGACCGGGGGCTCGTGAACCATCCGGCACCAGCCCTCCCAGCGTTGCTCCACCCCTCTCCATGGTGCACGGGCCCTCGTCGACCAAGGTGGTGTCCTGTTCGTCGCGCAAGGCCTCCCCCCCAAGTACTCCTCCTCCCTCCTCCCTTCTCCATCTTCCCTCCCTCTTGGTAAGGCTTCGGTCTGCGCACAGACAGCCCCCCGAGGTGGTGTTGGCCTCAACGGGCCAGCTGGGACTACCTCGCCTCGGGCCGCTGTCTGTGCGCACACCCTGACGCTCCACCCGAGGAGCAGTGGCTGCGGCTTCTCGGCGACGGGCAAGTGCTCAGGAGCCCGCTCGACGCTCAGGCGGGCAAGTCGATCTTCAGGAGCATATCCAGGCTCCGGGAATGTCGCCGAAAATACTTCGGAGGAGGGGGAGGTGAAGGAGGAGAGGGGGGAAGAAGGGAAGAAGCGGTAGAGGACAAGGAGGAGAAGGGGGAGATGACGAGGACGAGGAGGAGGAGGACTAGGACTAAGACGGTGGCCTGCCTCCGAAGAAGCAGGTCCAAGGAGGGGAGGAGGAGGAGGAGGAGGAGGAGGAGGAGGAGGAGGAGGAGGAGGAGGAGGAGGAGGAGAACGAGGACGAGGACGAGGACGAGGATGAGGACCAGGACGAGGGCGAGGACGAGGATGAGGAGGACGAGAAGGACGAGGAGGAAGAGGAAGGATGAGGGAGGAGGGAGGAGGGAGCGAGGAGGAGGAGAAGAAGAAGAAGAAGAGGGAGGACGGAGAAGGACGATGGTGGACGAAGGAGGAGGAGGAGGAGAATCAGGAGGAGGAGAAGATGAAATTATAGGAGCAGGAGCAGACGAGGAGGAGGAGGAGGAGGAGGAGGAGGAGGAGGAGGAGGTTGCGCAACCAGGCGCGTGCAGCACCCTGGCGAGGCCTGCGCGGCGGGTTCGTGCCCGTGCAGCTCACGGACTGTTGCCGCCGGGCGCGCGCCCTCACCTCCTCCTTCCTGCTGTGTCCCCCTCTGTCCTCGTCCCTCCTCGCCCCCTTCCTCCTCCTCCTCCTCCTCCTCATCCCTCCTCGTCCCTCCTGTTGTGTCCCCTCCCTCCTCCTCGTCCCTCCTCTTCCTGACAGGAGGGGTGACACGGAGGAGTGTGACCGCCTGGCGCACGACGAGAACACAGAGAAGAATATGCCACGGACCGTGGCCCAGGTGGCCACCCTCCCTGGGCACCACGCTGCAGGGCGAGCGACCTCTCCAGCCACCGCACCAGCGTTGGCCCGCGGAGCGGCCCAGCGCGAAAAGTTGCCCCGACCAACTTCTCAGAGGCCACGCCAGTAGGCGCGCTCGCACCCGTCGCCCCTCTCGACGGGCGCTCCTCATGGCGGGAGGTCTGGACCAACAGGTTCCCAGACATGCTAGGGCAGAGAACGCAGGCGGGAGGTCTGGACCGAAAGGTTCCACACGAGCCGTGTGCGAACACACATTTGACTCCGCCACAGCTCTATGGGCAAACGCCATAGTCGGTCTGACAACCGGGTAGAAAAGGAGCGTTGCTGAAAGCGTGTACGTTTCAGCGTGAATTCGCATCTACAGAAGCAGTTCTGTCTACCCATGGATCCGAATCTCGAGAACCCATTCCGGGTCGGCCTCGACCAGGTTCGGGGGCACCTGAATAGTTTTGCACTTATGGAAGATTTGATTTCAGACCTGCGCGAGGACGATCATTTGACTCACCTAGTTTTCACAAAAGTCATTATAATCACCCATATTCCCCCTACACCCCTTCCAGTGGTCTCCGTTTTGCACCGCTTGCCAATCTTGCTATATGTCTCTCTCTTTCTCTCTCTCTCTCTCTCTCTCTCTCTCTCTCTCTCTATATATATATATCTATATATATCCTCTCTTTCTGATATATATATATATATATATATATATATATATCCTCTCTTTCTGCCAACCTTCGCCGTCCGAATATGTTCGACCACGTCAATGTTCCGAATTTTGCCGGGGCTCTCATCGCGAACCCAAACCATTTTGAAGCTCGAGCCGCCAGCCTTGGGCCCACACAGCCGCCCTGCTGATTAGTGGGTTCCCTTTGTCACCCACTCGGTGGCGACCGGCCCTGTTCTAGCACAGGTCCTCATCGCCACCCATCGACTGGCGCCATCATGTCCAAGCCTTCTCTGGGATCAGTATCCCTGAGTTCACAGCAAACTTGTCGGGGCGCCAGGCGAAGCGCGCCAGGGCTCGAAACATATTCTGGCGGCTGCTCCAGGAAAGTCCGGCCACATGGAAACCGCCCACCCCATAGGACAGCTTCGTCTTAGAGTCCTCATCCATCCTCCTCCTCCTCGTCCTCGTCCTCGTCATCATCACCATCATCATCAACTGATTGAGTTGGCGTAGTATAAGAATTCCAGTGAATCATTTCGCCGTCGCGTTGAAAAGGCGCAGCGCCAGCTTGGAGCTGGAGTTGGAGTTGTCGCGCTCCTTGGACATCGACGAAAAGCAGAGCGATGAGGAGGAGGAGGAGGAGGAGGAGGAGGAGGAGGAGGAGGAGGAGAAGGAGGAGGAGGAGGAAGAGAAGAAAGAGGGCGGAGAAGAGGGCATCCAGGACACCCCCTGGTCATGGAAGCTCATTCGCGACACCGTGGAAGACGACCACGGAGGCAACGACGACGACCTCCTCCTCCTCCTCCTCCTCCTCCTCCTCCTCCTCCTCATCATCATCATCATCATCATCATCATCCTTATCATCCTTATCATCCTTATCCTCATCCACCTCTTCCTCCTCTCCTCCTTACCTCCCTCTCGTTTTGTCCTCATTATCCTTCTCTTTCTCCTCCTCCTCCTCTACCTCCTCCTCCTCCTCCTCCTCCTCCTCTTCCTCCGCCTCCTCCTCCTTCTCCTCCTCCTCCTCGCCCTCCCTCCATCTATCCCCCCCCCTCCGAGGAGTGCCCACGTCAGGAGCACCAAGAGCCGGCTGACCCTGGCAGTCAAGTCGCGTCGGACGATAGAGCCCAAGGCGATCACAGGGGCAGCCAGAACCGCAGGGGTGGTGGGAGCAGCCCCCCCACGCACTGGAGGAGGAGGAGGAGGAGGAGGAGGAGGAGGAGGAGGAGGAGGAGGAGGGCGAGGAGGAGGAGGGCTCCGGGTGCACGCGTGCGCGACCCCCCAAAGCAAAAGATACCAACGAACGTTGGCGAATGATCGGGACAACCGAAATGGGTACGGAAAATTGGGCACAAAGACCGACAGCCTTTCCTGCTCATTTGAAAAGGGCTCGCTGTTGGTGTCGCCGCGGACGACGTCCATTTGAGACAGAAGGTTGCCTGGTGCGAGACTACATGTGTTGTGAGGCATTGTACCCAGTTGTTCCGTACCCACTTCGGGCGTCCAAAATTGATGCGCCCCAGAGGAGGTGGTTGCATGTTTTGCGTGCGTCGCCGCAGCAGGAGCAGCATCATCATGATGCGTGTCATGACACGTTTGTTGGCAGAGCGATGGATACACGTGGAACGTTAGCCCTCCGCATGTACATCCAGTCGCGCATCGTCGCAGGAGCATCCTCGTGAGAGTGCGTGTCATGCACCGCGCCCCAGACGTGTCATAAGGAACGACATGAACGCAGCACCATGATCATGCTGGTGAGTGTTTTGCTGACAGGTGCCACTGAGCCAAGCCGGAACGGCTTCACCGGGAGCTCCGCCTCGGACTCGGGCGCCAGGGCGGCGTCCAAATCGAGGGCTCGGCCTCCGAAGCGTTGACGGGCGGAGCTGGGCCCGCCTCGCCGACTCCCGCGCACGCCGACTGCCTTGGGACGCGCGGGCGGCGGCGGGGCGAGGAGGAGGGCACGCCGCCACACCGCAGGGATTGGTCTCGAGGCTGCCCTGCCCTCTCGCAAGCCTTCTCAGAAGATCACTGTCCCCAGAGTGCCCCCTCCTCCTCCTCCTCCTCCTCCTCCTCCTCCTCCTCCTCTCTCCTCTCCTCCTCCTTCTCCTCCTCCTCCTCTCCTCCTCCTCCCCTCCTCCTCCTCCTCCTCCTCCTCCTCCCCCTCCTCCTCCTCCTCCTCCTCCTCCTCTTCCGTCCTCCTCCTCCTCCTCCGTTCGCCCCGGCGTCTCCGGCGCGCCGTCGGCGGCGCCGCCCGCAGCAGAGCCGACCGCGCGAGGGCAAACGGACCACAGCCCGCGGGGAGGGCGCCTGTCCAGCGACTCCTCACTTCCCCGCAGTTGCGGATTCGACGGAGGGGCGCCCCCGTTGCGGATTCGACGGAGGGGCGCCCCAGTTGCGGATTCGACTCTTCACTTCCCCGCAGTTGCGGATTCGACGGAGGGGGGCCCCCGTGGGAAGCGGAACGGTCGGGGCCCGACGACGACAACGCCGCGCCACAACGCCAGGTGTATCACCACGAGGTCCTACGTCAGCACCGAAGCCAGGGATTGCGTATGACCGGTCGGCCCCCATCGCGAGCCATTTGGGCGGGAAGGCGTTCAGACGGGGACTTCATGGTCATCTCCTTTGTGGTGCCACAGCGACAAATAGTACGTTTCGCTGGTCGAACGGCAGTTGGCCTGAGCTAGAAGCGCCTTGTTTCTTTTCCGAGCTTTTTGTTTAATGTGTGTTTCTTCTCACACAAACACAAGTTTTAAATCATGATGTTGGCGATGCTCACCACACGACATCACCGGTCTCCTTGCTTGAGCGTTGCGTTCCAAGGCGCACGGGCCTTACCTTTTCAATACCACGATAGCTACGTCTCTTTACATTCGAAAAAAAGACCCCTAGACAAATCCATGCATCAGGCTGTTCCGTTCTTCTTCTTCTTCCTCAAGAGCAGCAGGTCAGGCACGCGCGCGCCCAGTGCCAGGAGGAGGAGGAGGAGGAGGAGGAGGAGGATTCAGGAGGAGGAGGAGGAGGAGGATTCAGGAGGAGGAGGGGGAGGAGGAGGAGGAGGAGGAGAAAGCCATTTGGCCTCTTGCGGGCCAGCCGATCCCGATCGATCCATCGGGGTCGGTCGGCGCCTGCCGCCCGATCGATCGCGGTGGCAGGGCGCATCGCGCATCGGCCAGCCCCCGAGGCCGGGCTCACGCGCGCCGCGCGCCATCATCTGCGGCAGGGAGCCACCCGTGCCTCCCTGCTCCCTGCCGCAGGCCGCGGCGCTTGCGGCCGCGCTGCGGCCCACCCCCCTCGCGGCGGGACGCCGCGACACCGTCGAGGAGGAGTTCCAGAGGGAGCTGCCCACCGCCGCGAGAGGCAGCAGAGAGCCCAGGACAGGCTCCTGCTCCGCTTGCGAGCCGCGGCCGAGCGCCTGGCCACCCACCATTCTGCCCAGCCAACGATGGCTCGTGACGGGAAGGGCAGAGGCAGTGGTGGCCGCAGCGGCAAGGGCCAGGTTCAGGAGGAGGCAGCATCGGCAGCGGAGCCACCATGGCGCCAGGAGCGCTGGCAAGGCGCGAGCTGGCGAGATCAGCACTGGAGCGCTGCGCCGGCAGGAGAGGACGCGCCCTGGCGCAGGGAGCCGTCGCGGCCACGCCGTGCTGGCCAGGCCAGTCCTCACCCCTGGCAGCAGCAGCAGCAGCAGCCCAGGGCGAGCAAGGGCGGCCAGGCCAGCTCCAGCAAAGCAGATCAACGAGCACAGAAGGTGATCGACTCAGTGGCGGCCTGCACGCTGGACGAGGCCACCACGCATCCAAAGTGGCAGGCGCCTCCAGCCGACAGAGCAGGCATCCAGAAGTTCCTGAGCAGCGCCGATCAGAGGTTGAGGAAGCTTGGTGATATGGTCATTGCCAAGCAGGCGGCGGGCGACTGCACTAAGGAGCAGCTGATGGAGATTGCCGTCATCAAGTACCAGAAGCTGGTCACGAGGAGGCCGAACGACCAGCTGCAGGTGCTCAGCAAAAGGCGCAAGGCCCTCAAGTTGGAAGTCACCGCCCTCGAGGCCAAGATGAACGAGGTGCGGGACGACCTCAAGACCAAGCAGCAGGAGGTGAGGCAGGTCGAGTCCAACATCGCCGACGTACGTGCTGTGCTCGCCGACGGTGGCGCGGCAGACGACGAGGGCGACTGGGACACGGACGGGTTCGCCTTGGCGCCGAGCTGGGATACGTTCCACAAGGCCGTGATCGACAGGCGCCTGAGCAGCGAGGCTCCTGGTGACGGGCCGCCAGCTTGGCCAGCGGGAGCGCCGGGGCGCACGCCACGCTCAAGAGCCAGCTCGGCAGGCAGCGCAACCAGAGGCTTCGCTGATCAGGTGGCCAAGGCGAACGCGGAGCGAGCGCATCAGCAGCATCGCCATGCCGAAGCCGAGCAGGAGTTCGCCGCCGAGCTGGCGGAGGTCAGGAGGGTGGCCCGCGAGCAGGCGCTCCGCCACAACGCCGAGCAGGCGAAGCTCAGACTGGCCTTGATGGAGGAGTCAGAGCAGCTGCAGCGCACCACCGAGGCGGAGAACGCAGCGCAGCAGCTGCAGCAGCAGCAACACAAGGCCCTCCGCCACGAGCTCAAGAAGCAGCAATCCGCGCAGCTCGAGTTCGCGACGCAGATGGAGGCCAGGCTGCACAACCATGACGCCGCATACAGCCACGCCAAGTCTGAGGCCGAGGCGGAGACCCAACGTGCAAATCGCCTGCAAGAGCAGCTCGAGCGTGCTCGTGCGGAGCACCGCGCACAGCCACAGCCCCAGGATAAGGTCTACCAAGACCTGATGCGGGCACGCGCCGAGGCGCAGGAGGCATGGCAGCAGGCTCAGCACGAGAACGCCAAGGCGGCAGCTGCTGCTGGCACCCACAGGCAGCAGCTCATCAGGCAGGAGGTGGTCATGGAGGAGAAGCTACAGGAGGCCAAGGCGGATCACATGCTTGAGCTGGAGGCCGCAACTGAGTCAGCCAGGGTCCAGGCAACCGCCCAGGCCCAGGCGGTCGCCAATGCCAAGGGAAAAGGAGCCCTGCCGCCGGCAGAGGCGGCCAGGCTGCAAGGTATTGTCCAGACCGCAGCAAGACAGCAGGATCGGCTCAAGCAGACCAGAAGCGAGCTCGAGGCAGCTGAGGCCCGCATCCATGAACTCCAGCAGCACTCCAAGCTTGAGGCAGGGGCAGCACAGCGTGCAGTCCAGGTCGCCTACCACGAAGCAGCGGAGCTCAGGAGTGCCAACGAGGAGCGGCAGGTCCCGCACGAGGTGCAGGCCCTGCAGTATGCCCTGCTAAGGACCAGAGCAGAGGAGGAGGAGATAGCGAAGGCCAGTCTAAAGGACAAGGAGGCCATGCGTGCGGAACTTGAAGGTAGTGCGGAGCAAGCACGATCGCACCTCACCCGCCAAGTCATGATAGAAGAAGCGCACGCATATGACTTGCAGCTGCACACCGAGAGCCTGCGACGGGAGCTGAGCAACTACGCGATGCAGCTGAGCGAGCAGAGGTCCAGCGCGGAAGTGCATGAGCAGGCGCCGGAGGAGGAGCTCGCCCAGGCCCTCACCTTCAGGATCGCCAGCATGGAGGAGGCCTCCGCCATGGAGGCCTTTGCCAGCCAGCAGAGGACTGGCAGGGAGGAGGCCATCCATCTCGCTCTACATGACAGCCTCCAGCGCTCCCGCACGCTGCACACCGAGCTCGACGCCATCGCGCAAAAGGAAAAGCATGGCGCATCCGAGACAAAGGAGTTAAAGCTTAGGCTGCAGAGCCTGGAAGCCATCGCAGCCAGCAGAGAACGCGAACGCAAAGCCATGGTCGACCTGCACGCCGAGATGAGGCAACACGGCCAGGAGGGCTACGACTTCACGAAGAGGGCAGCTCATCATCTCGTCCAAGGAGGCCACCCCCCAAACATCCCAAGAGCCCATGGACGACTACCAGGAGGCCGCCGACCTGCACGAGAAGGCCAGGTGCACAGCCGAGGCAGCCCCCGCTCCAGCGACGTCGCTCACCGCGGCCCCTCTCCCAACTGGCGCAGCTGAGGAGCGCCCAACCAGCAGGGGCCGCGGGCAGAACAGCTCCTCGCCTCGGAGACCCACATCCGCCAGGTCAGCCAGATCAGCAGCCCGCCAGCCCGATGAAGGCGCTGAAGCACGCAAAGAGCGCGATAGGTCCAGGAGCCCTGACAGGCCCGACCCACACGAGGAGGCAGATAGGCATGAGCGCGAGCAAGAGGATTCGCGAAAGCAAGACGAGAAGGCGAAAGCACAATGGGAAGCCGAACAGATGGAGGAGGGGCTAAAGTCAGTCGTGAGGGACCACGAGGCGGGGGAGATTGAAAGGTACTACTACGAGGAGGCTCCAATGACCCAGCACGGCCCTGGTGTTTCACTAGACTCCCAAGTGGCTGACGACTGCTCGGAGCACGCCCCGATGATCTACCCCGCCAGCTGGCCGCCCTGGAGCCAGGATCAACCCACGCCCGAGGAGGACGGGGAGATGAGGGGAGCTATGCAGCATGAGGCAGACACGGACCTAGCCTCCACCTCAAGGGCCAGCTCGATACCAGCAGAGCAGGGCGACCCTCCCACTCCGACTGCATCTCAGGTGATCTACATCCCAGCGTCGCCAGCGCCTCTGAGTGAGAGATCTCTCACGCCCACAGTGCCCATCGGGAATGAAGAGCAGGGCGGCCAAGACGGCAGAGAGGGGGCCGACAGCTTCGTACTGACCCCTCCCCCTGCCTCCCAGCAGAGTGCGGAGGCGGCAGCAGCCAGCATCGAGAGGCAGTACGAGGGCACCGACATCCTCACGCGCCAGCACACCTCAGCTGCCGCCGCAGCTGCAGCCCTCGAGGAGGCCTTTGGACCTGCGCCAGCATTTCCAGGAGAAGACATCAGCCAGGCCTTCAAGGGTCAGCGAGTAGATCCGGGAGAGACAGGCATAGCACGTTTTCGTGGCCGAGTGGCCCGCAGGAGGGACGAGACAAGGGGCACAGCAACCCCCTCCCCTCCTGCAACTCCTGGAGCCGAGGAGCAGGCAGCAGCAGCACCCGCCGAACCCCACCAAGGGGTTGAGGCGGCCTAGCAGCGCCGCCAGGCACCAGGATATGCATGACAGAATTCATGGCCAGGAGGCGGCCGATGAGTCCGACAGGGCAGAGCACGACGGTTGTGGGCTTCCTTCACGCTCTCCGATCAGTTTGACAGCATCGATCTCCTGTGCAGACTCGGGGCGAGCAGCTGGGGCCCAAGGGCCACAGTACGGCAGTGGGGTCTTCCACTACGACAGTTTCACCTACCAGAGCGACAGCCCCCAGGAGGTCAGGGCCCCGAGGGGCCACGACTCCAATTTGGGATGCTACCGCAGCTGGCGCTCGCAGTGGGAGGATGACTCCCAGACGCAGCAGCCAGCAACTTGAGAGCTCCCAGTCACCAGGGTCTCGAGGGGCCTATGTGACACCACCACGGCTGGCACGAAGGCCGCCCGCCGCGTCTCGAGGGGCGCCAGGCGGCACCGCAGGAGGCACACTACCATGGAGGAGTGACGCAGCCAGCAGTCAGTCAGCACCTCAGGTCACAAGCCACCGAGATGGCTGCAAGGATGCGTTACCGGCTGCCCTTGCACAAAGGACGCCTCCCTCCGCCATTCGAGTTCACGAGCTTGAGGACGCTGACAGCACCTTTCTCGATGGCCAAAGCTTGAGTGGCAGTGAGGCCGAGGCTGGCACAGAGCAACTGGATGAGCAATGGAAGCGAACGCGAGCAGTCGCGGCCTTCCGATCAGCCCAGCGGCGAGCACGGCGTGCACGGCGCGCTGCCGAGAGCCACAGCGGCAGGGAGGACAGCAGCACTCACAACCAGTACCGAGCCCTGATCATGGATCACGGGCACAGCGCCCACACCCAACCCACCCACGCCAGCGATCACCAGCACCGAAATGAGCAAGAAGGCAGCCCAACTTGGCGGGCTTGCACGGGGTCCCCTCACACTGCAAGGCCGCTGACGGGCGGACCTGCTCCCCACAGGATCGAGCAGATGCGGGCCCCCTCCCCCTTGCTGGTGCGTAGACCTGGCAGCAAGCCTCCGTCGGGAGGGTGGTCGATGCCTTGCTCCCAGGCCAGGGACCGCCCAAGGGCGCCCGAGGCGGGACCCCAACGGCAGCGGCACGGCTACGAGCACAGCGTGGAGACCAACGCCTCGGCCCTCACCGAGCAGCGGCACACACAGCAACCCACCTACTGCCACAGCAACGCCTGACGAAAAAGCCAACCTTACCCTTCCCAACACCCATACGCTGGACCAGCGCACCAAGCCCCACCACCCACCATCAGAGCAACCTCACGGCGTAGCCGAGCCCGAGCAGCACATCGTGCCTACCAGGACCTGTCCAAGTTGGCGCGCTAGCGCGGGGTCGCCTCACACTGCAAGGCCGCCGACGGGCGGACCTGCTCCCCAGCGGGTCGAGCAGCTGCGGGATGATTCCCCCTTACAGGTGCGAAGGCGCGAGGGCATGCCTCCGACGGGAGGGTGGTCGAAGCCTTGCTCTCGCGTCAGCGATGTCGTGTTGGGGTGTCCAACCAGGCCCAGCGACCACCAAGCCGTTCCAGTACCACCATCGGCTCCAGCCCCGACCACCCCATGCAGTCCACCACGACCAGCCAAGTGGAGGCCAACGCTCCTCTCGGCAACAGCTGGCTCCCACCACGGTACGAGCGCCACAGGCCACTCCGACGCTCCTGATGGCAAACCTCATCGTCTACGTGACAGCATGCTCCACGCCCAATCACACGAGCTCCTGTTCAGTCAGGCCGTGCGGGCTGGATCGGACAACTTGAACTTCGATGAGGGGCGTCGTCAACCGTCACCACTACCTCTGGAGTGGAGTGCGCTTCGGGCTGGCGCCTCACCCTTCGCCCCAGCCGCCCACGCGGCGTCATCACAGCTACCTTCAGCCCGCGCTCCCAGCTCATCAAGCCCCACCCCACGCGGCACGGGATTAGCGTCGGCCGACGACGTCGAGTACTCCCCCGAGTACGTCCGAGCTGAGAGAGCCAGGCGCGGCCGAAGGCAACGGCAGCCCTCCACCCGATAGCGCCAGACAGAGGCGCCCCCGCAGTGCTACCAGTCCTCAGCCACGACTCAGTAGCAGAGACCCTACGAGGCCGAGGCCGCGTCAATGTCTGCGCCGAAGTCGACACCACGACCCTCCACAACATGGCAAGGCTAGCGCTGGAGATGTGCCCAGCACGTGAGCTTCCGACTAAACGCACGCACATCTACACAGACGGCAGTTACAACGGCACCCCACACACAGCAGCCTGGGCAGTGATCATTGTCGACGAGTACGACGACGGGCGCAGCTCACGAGGCCCGTTCGGCGTTCGGGGTTTTGTTGCTGGCAAGGTCACCGAGACTTTACACGACATGGCTGACAACGAGAAGGTGGCGGCATATACGGCTGAGCTCACGGCAGTGCTGTGGGCACTCATGCGGGCCCTCGGTCAAGACACCACCGCCCCCATCGAGATTACGCCTGACGCCCTCAACGTCACCAACCTGGCCAAAGGAGATGCCCAATGCCACGTACATCCACGGCTTGGCGCCGCCATTCGGTCTCTTGCTGGCCTCCTCGAAGAAGCTCGACCTACTCAGTGGCACCACATTAACTCGCATATTGGCCACCCTTGGAACGAACTTGCAGACGGAGTAGCAGATCAAGCTTCGACCACCGACCTGATGGACCCGAATCTAGCAGCAGTGCAGGCGATCGCGCACAACAAGTTTCTATCCTGGGAGTGGTTTCGCTCAGCGCCTGAGGACGTCAAGGCCGCCTACCCTCCCATGCGAGATCAGGCCTTCATCATCGGGGCCACCCAGCCGCAGGCAGCCCCCAGTGCTATCCAGCGGCCCATCAGCACGACCACCACCAAGGCCGACCTCAGCTTGAACATGTGCACCTACAACTGCAGATCACTCAAGGCCGCCGTTAACTTCAAGTCGGGCAAAGGCAAGGCGGCCAGCAAAAGCAGGCAGAGCATTCCCAAGGTTACACACCTAGCAGCACAGTTCTCGGACATGGGCCTCCACATCGTGGCCCTCCAGGAGACGCAGAGCGACGGAGACGTCCGCAACGTTGGAGATTATGTCTGCTTCTCTTCAGGCCACGCGCAGCAGAACAGAGGATGTGACATTTGGCTCAACGTCTCCCAGCCGATCAGCGTGGGCGGGGTCGCGAGGTACCTAAGCGCCAAGGACACCCTCGTCGTCCACCAGCACGACAGGCTCTTGATCATCAAGACCCGCGTGGCAGGCACTGACATGGTCATCGCCTCCGCGTACGCCCCCCACGAAGAATCCCAGTCGGCTGAGAAGACAGAATTTTGGGATTCCGCCCAGCGACTGGCCGCCAAGTACCACGTGGACATCTTCATGGGGGACCTGAACGGGCGGCTCGGCGACTACGAGTCCCCAGGAGTTGGCACCAGTGGGTATCCTGAACCTACCAATGGCAACGGCAAGCACATCATAAGCTTCGCAGCCGACACCGACATGGAAGTCATCAACACCACGAAGGATCCAGGAAACAGTTCGTATACGCATATTGGATCTAAGAGGCAGCGCCACAGGATTGACTACATCCTGGCGAGCTCCTCTATCGCCCCGTACGTGACGAGCTGCAGCACGGAGCCAGGGCTCGACCGAGGCACCGCTGCACAAGACCACATACCAGTACTCACCACCCTTAAGTGGGCCGTCAGCAAGACCACCAAGGCCTCAGGGCCGCGGCCCGACCTGACCAACCTAAACAACGATGACGCCAAGGCTAGATTCAAGGAGATTATCAAGCAGGCCCCGATCATCCCCTGGGAGGTGGACGTCAACACCCACTGCGAGGAAGTCACCAGAGTCGTCAACAACGCGGCCATCCAGGCCTTCGGCAAGGCCGTCAAGACAGCTCGGAAGCCCTACATCACCAAGACCACCATGGGCCTCATCCGAGCCAGGCGCCTCGCACTTCGAGTCCATCGTGCAGTGCTTAGAGGAGAAGCCCATGACGACCGACCTGGCCGACTAGTGGCCCACGCCCACTCCCTTCTTGGAGGCGAGGTCGGCGACTCATTGGCCCTGTGGAGCACAGAGCGCGGCGACGACGACGGCACCATCCACGACATCCACTACTATTCGCACCTCCTCCTGCACTGGATGATCTCGCCCATGGACTACGCCATGGCCATCCACTCCCTCCTCACTAGGTCTGGGCTGCTCACAGCCTCGGCCGTCGAGAAGGACCGCAGCGCTTTCCTCAGCCGGCTAGCATCAACGGCGTCCTCCGCCTCTGCTGCGAACGACGCGGCGGCTCAGTGGAAGGCTTATCGGGACCTGCTGAGGTACGGCGGCAAGAGGGCGCGGTTTCCAGCAGGCAAGCCGATGAGACTGGACCAGAACGGAGAGGTGGTCCACAACTCCCAGGACATGGCGGACCAGGAGCTCAACCATTTCGCGAAGATACAGGCAGGCAAGATCGTGACAGCGGGCGACCTCGCCCACAAGTACAACCAGGACAGCCAGGCCAGGCCCTTCCAGGGCACGCTGGACCTCTCCATGGTGATGCCCCTGTCCGTCTGCCAGGCCCAGTTCGCCGCGGCCAAGGCTGGGACGCAAGGAGGCCCTGACGGGATCACGAACGCCATCCTCAGGGCGGCACCTGCCGAGGCAGCTGCGCTACTTCACCCGCTCTTCACCAAGGTGTCGACCACGGTGCGGGAGCCGCTGAGCTTCAAGGGCGGAGACCTGGTCGCCATCCCCAAAGGCAAGGGCGACCCCCGCTACCACCTAGCATACCGTGAGATCCTCTTGAACAACGTCCTGGGCAAGCACCACCACAAGTACCTGAGGACCATGCTCAACGCCACCCTCGCCATAGCGCTGGAGGACATCCAGGTCGGCGGCCGGCCCAAGAGAGGGGCCGACATGGCGGTCCTAGCAGCGCGCCTCTTCACCGAGAGAAGCCAGGCCCAAGGGAAGTGCTCCATGATCAGTTGCTACGACCTAAAGGAGGCCTTCTACTCGGTCGTCGTCCAGCTGGTCCACGGCATCCCAGGAAGGTGCTCGACAACCTAGAAGTTCCCCTGTGGGCCCAGCCGCAGCTGGAGCACCTCATGGCTAACCCAGGGATGCTCGACACCGTGCTGGATGGTTCCCACCTGGCTGCCCTCATTGCCGAGGGGTATCGAAACAGGTGGACATCGCACCGATTATCCCAGAGCTTCATGGCGCCGCACAAAGGCACGAGGCCTGGCGTGCCCCTCGCCGACGCTGACTTCAATCTGCTCTTTGGCCGCGCCCACCGCATGATCGACAGCTACCTTGCACAGCGAGGGCTACGGGTCCAGGGCAGGCCCCTGGAGAGTAGCTTCGCGTGCGCCACCGATCCTACAGACGGACCGCTCCAGGAGCACGAGCCCCACGGCCTCTCGTTCGTCGATGACCTCACGGGCATGCACGTGTTCACCAGCCCCGACCACATTCAGACCGAGGCCTCGGGGTTTGGAGAGGCCGTCTACTGCGCCACCAGCACCTTCGGCCTCCAGCTGCAGCTCACCAAGACCAAAGTGATGCTCGACTTCAGCGGGCCTGGAAGCCGGCAAGCTCGGGCCAACTTCTACTCCAACGGAGCGCCGAAGATTGCGGTCCCCCTTGCTGAGAGCCACGTCGAGGTTGTCCGCCACCACAAGCTCCTCGGGACCTACGTGGCCGACAATGCATCTCCTGGGGTGGATGTCGCGGTGAAAGTAGCTACCGCTGCGACCTCCACGCGGCCTCTCCACCGTGAAGTCCACCGTCGTTCAGAGCTGGCCGTCAAAGACAAGGCCTACCTAGCCGACAGCGTGGTGCTATCCCAGCTGCTGTACAACGCGTCCACTTGGCCCGAACTCACAGCAGGCCAGACCAGGAACTTCAACAACCAGTACATCGTGAACTACGCTGCCGCACAGAGGATTACATGGAAAGTGCGACAGAAGAAGGAGGCCACCAACATCCAGATTCTCGAAGGAGTAGACAAGCTCCCCCCCGAGATCGTCCTGCGCCTCGAGAGACTTCGGCTATTTGGTAGATGCCTCAACTGGGGTCCCCTTCACCTTCGCCGTCTACTCAGCCAGGCCTGGGGCGGGAACTACGGTTGGGTGGCATTGCTCCGCCGCGACCTAGACTGGGTCCGCGACCACACAGGACCTGACGAGCGAGGTGGAGCCTACACACCCGACGACTGGAAGGACTGGGCCAGGAGCGACTACAAAAGCTACCTCAACGCAGTCAAGAAAGCTTGCCAACGCGGCAAAGCCCGCCAGTACGACCACGACCACCACGCCCGATGGCGGATACGACTCCAGCGTTGGACCAACACGGAAGCCATCTCGCTCTTCCCAGACCAGCACTTCGAGCAGCAGCGCAAGTACCTCTGCTACCACTGTGGACGTACAGAGCTCAGTGCAGCAGTTCTACGAGCCCACATCACCAAGGACCACACCTCGTCGGGACATCCCATCTCGTGGGCAACTGGCTCGATTTGCTATGGATGTGGCATGGATTTCCACACCACGAACAGACTGGTCAAGCACTTGCTGCGTGTGCGCAGGTGCGCTCGACACTGGCGACGAACACGACCAGCGCTGCTCAGCTAATCCGAGCTGCAGCACAACCAGCGAGTGGTACGAGACCAACAGCAGGCGAATAGAAGGGCCGGCAGGCCCATCGACTGGGCCGAGAAGCCTGCAGTCCCTGCTCGCCCTCCAGAGATACACACTGACGACGACAGCGACGACAGCAACTGCGGCCACCACCAGGACCTCGAGCTCCCCTTCATCGAGGAACCGCCGCCGCCGCCAGCACCTGTGCCCAGGCCCCCTCCAGCTCGGACACTTTACGTGCTACATCTGTTCAGCGGTCGTCGCCGAGAGGGAGACGTTCAGGACTGGTTCGACCGCGTCTGCAGTCGGGCCTCATGCGACCTGCACATGCCCAGCCTGGACGTTGCCAACGACCCGACCTTCGGCGACCTGACATCGGAAGTTACAGTCAACAAGTGGCGAAGCCTGGCACAGGCAGGAAGGCTCGCAGGCGTCATCGGCGGACCACCGTGCGAGACATGGAGCCGAGCGCGTCACCTGCCCCCCAACGTCTGCATGGGTCGCCCACCGAGACCCCTGAGGAGCAGCAACAGCTTGTGGGGCCTCTCCTACCTCTCCCGACCAGAGATGGAACAAGTAGCGACAGGCAATCGCCTATATAGGACACAGCTGGAGCTCATGCACATGTGCCTCAACCTTGGCGTCCCAGGCATGCTCGAGCACCCGTGCGAGCCCACGGAGGAGCACATCGCCAGCTCCTGGCGGCTCCCCGAGATGCGCCACCTCCTGAGCCAGCAGGGAGTCGAGCTGATTACTTTCGACCAGTGCACCTGCGGGGCGCGTTCGAGGAAGTCCACAAGCCTGCTGGCGGTATCCCTTCCAACTCTCCGCTCGGAGATAAGAAGGCTGCCTGGAGGCGGGAGGTGCTTCCACACGGCCGCCTACCACGCGGAGCTGGCGGGCATCAACGACGACGGCCAGTGGCGCACGGCGGCGGCCAAGGAGTACCCGACGAGGATGTGCCAGGCCATCGCGACGGCGCTGATGAAGCAGATACGCTGGCGCTTTGGCGACACGCCAAGCGACGCCAGCGTCTGGCACATCGACGACGATGTGGCCCACTTCTTCCAGCCCCTCGACCACTACATGACCAGGGAGATGGGCCAGGACTACCGCCGTGGCCCAACGAGGCGAGGGAGCGCCCCGACCTGGCTGGAGGAGGCGAGGGAGTGGGCCGTGCAGGACCGACCCCGACAAGGCCCTGGGCAGGACCACCAGCTCGACGAGTTCTGATCGGGCACAGCTCGATGATGTTGATCGCGACGAAGAGCGCTCGACGACAAGCACAAAAGCGCCAGGACGCAAGTCCTGAGGAAGCCCCAAGTGCGTGGGAACACCTCAGGCAGCGTCGCCAAGTTTTGCAGAAGGCGTTAGGACGCAAGTCCTGGGGAAGCCCCGAATGCGTGGGAACACCCCAGGCACAAGTCGCCACGTTTTGCAGTATTGACGCAGATAGCGATCGCACGTGCATAAGCTCAGCGGTACCAGCCAGACGATATACGACCTTTACGACCACCACCTACAATTGACCAACCGCCACCAACGACCCAAACTACGGCCCACCACACCACAGTACAAGTCAAGGCTGCCCTGGTGAGGCAAGGATCAAACTTCGAGACGGGCTCGAAGGGTGGGGGGGGCAGGGCGAGTACTGCCCGCGCCTACCAGGGGGGATGGTGAGGGGCAGGGGGGGGGGGGGTAGGACGCCACTACCCGCGCCCCCGCGGTCCGCCCTAGCTCGCCACCCCCACCATCCCCATGGCGGAGACGGGGCTTACCCGAGCGCCCAAGGGGCGAAGCATAGGGCAGCCGAGACATTCCTCATCGAGAACAGAAGAATCACTGGGCCTGGGGTTTGCCCCCACCGAGGGCACTTTGACCCCTAGCCATAGCGGGACGAGGTGGGGCCGCCACGAACCTCACTCACTTGAAGTCGGTGCATGGAGGCCCTAAGTGCGCCCACAACCCGTACCACAACACCAACAACAAGCCGACCTCCCAACGACCCACATATACCAGCACGACAAGCACCCCAGCGACTGAGTCGAGCACCACGGGTTCGAGCGCCACAGAGTCAAGCAGTACCACTTCGACCAGTACGACTGGGCCCAGTACCAAAGAGCTTAGCATCACAGAGTCAAGCAGTACCACTTTGATCAGCACTACTGAGTCGAGTACCGCAGGCACGAGCAACACCGAGCCAAGCATCACCACTTTGACCAGCACGCCTGAGTCGAGTACTACAGGTTCGAGGGCCACCTAGCCAACTACTACTACGTCCACCAGCACGACTGGGCCGAGTACCACAGGTTTGGCACCACAGCCTCAAGCAGTAACGAGTTGACCAGCATGACCGAGTCGAGTACCACAGCTCGTGCACTACAGAGTCAAGCCGTACCATGATTACCAGCGCGACTGAGTCGAGTGCCACAAGTTCGGGCACCGCAGAGTCAAGCAGCACTATCTCGACCAGCACGACTGAGTCGAGTACCACAAGTGCGAGCACTACATAGTCAAGCAGTACCACAAGTTCGAGAACCACAGAGTCAAGGCGAGGGATTGGGCCGGTGAAGACCGGCCTCGACATGGCCCTGGGCACGACCACCAGCTCGACGAGGTCTGAGCGGGTGCAGCGCGACGAGGCTCGGCGAGCCCGCAGCTCGACGGCACCTGAGAGGGCTGCGGGGTCGTGTCCATAGGGATCTAGAGTATGGTGCCTCCCCCTTTACCCCCCAGTTCTCTGTAATTTCCAGGACCTGGTTCCGGTTTTCATGGTCGTTGCCCGTCTGGCTCCGTGGGGGTAAGGGGGGGGCACACCAGGTGGGCCCCCGCCCACCTGGTTCCAGGGCCTGTGCGCTGCCGCCCAGGACAGGAGATGCAGCTGGCTAAGGCTGCTATCCTGGGCGGCAGCGCAACGGGCCGACAGAGTAATTCGGCATCCACAGGTGGTCCGAGGCCCTCCCCCCGCTCGTTGCCTACCGAGGCCCTTCCCTCCCCCTCTTCTCTGAGGCCTCGGACTGCCGCCTCTGCCCTAGCCCCCGCCCCTCCCCTCCCTAGGCCCTGGCGACAGTGCGGGCCCCCCTCCTCCCCTCCCCCTGTCGGCGGCAGCGGCCGCCGTGTTGCGCTTCAGGAATCAAACCCTTCAAGGCGCTGCAAATAGCGGAAAAATAGCGGAGGAGGAGAAGGAGGAGGAGGAGGAGGAGGAGGAGGAGGAGGAGGAGGAGGGATCGAGAGGCAGAGGGAGTGGCAAGCGAGGTGCGCTCGCGCCACATCTGACAACCGATCCTTCCCTCCCATCCCTCCCCACTGCGCTGATGTTTTCTCCATCCCGTGACGCGTGTCATGGCCGACCTCGAAGTCCATTAGCATCGCAAAATCACCTTACCAGCAGCAAGAGTGACCTGCTGGGCAGGTGGGAACTGTGGGATTTGTGCAGTCTGTGGGACCTGTGGGACTTTTGCGGCCTGTGGGACGTGTGGGACCTGTGTGGGAGGTGGAAACTGTTGACCTCTGGGACCTGTGGGGTCTGTGGGACCCGCTTCTGGCGGGACCTGTGGGGGCCGTTTCAGGGGCAACGATAGGGGGGGATAGGCATAGGGGGGGGATGCATCGACCCCCAATCGACCATTGATCGCCGATAAGGGCCCGATAGCCCCAGCCTGCCCAGGAAGGTGCGGATTCACTATCGGAGGCCTATCGCCGATCCATCGGCGATGTATCGCCTATTCCAGGTCGATGCATCCCCCCTATGCCAGTCCCACCCTATCGTTGCCCCTCACTGTTGGACCTGGGAGACCTGTGTGGGACCTGTGAGACATGCGACACATGTCGGACCTGTGGGACCAGCGAGACTTGTGGAACCTGTGGCACCGGAGGGACTTGTGGGAGCTGTTTGGACCTGGGGGATCTCTGGGACCTGTGGGGCATGCGGGACCTGTGGGACCTGTGGGACATGCGAGACCTACGACACGTGTGGAACCTGTGGGGCCTATGGAGCCTGTCAAACCCGTGGGACCCGTGGGACGACCTGCGACAATGTGGGACCTGTGGGGCATGCAGGACTTGCGAGGCCTGTGGGGCCTTCGAGACTGATGGGAGCCAGGAATGTGGCCCTCGCTGGGGACCGCACTTCTGAACGACGGGAGCACAGCGCCGATCCGAAAAATGGAGTCCACGATGCAGCGAGAGCACAATCTTCGAAACACCGAAAACAGTCTGAGCTCAAAAACACAGGAACTAAAACAGTTCGGCACAATCCCGTGCGTAAAAAACAGGATGCGGATGGGGGCGGAAGAACTTCCGGACTGTCTCAGGGGAGAGGGGAGTTGTATTCATGTTGAGTGGTTGTTGAATGGAGAAGCGGGAGGAGCAGCAGGAGGGAGGAGTCAGAGAAGGAGAAGGTAGAGGACGCGGACGAGGAAAATAATCATGAAGAGGGGGGAGGCGCGAGGAAAAATAGAGGACTTGGAGGATGGTGGAGGAAGCAGGAGGGAGAAAGGAAGGAGTGAGGGAGGGAGGGTGGACAGGAGAAGGAAGAAGAGGAGAAGGGAAGAAGTAGGGGAGGGAGGGCAGCAGGAGACTGGAGGGGGAGGACGCGGGAGGAGGAGGAGGAGGAGGAGGAGGAGGAGGAGGAGGAGGAGGAGGAGGAGGAGGGAGGGGAGCGGGAGGGGGACGGGGGATGAGGAAGAGGGAGGACGCGGGATGAGGGGTAGGAGGAAGGAGGAGGAGGAGGAGGAGGGAGGAGGAGGAGGAGGAGGAGGAGAAGGCGGAGAAGGAGGAGAAGGAGGAGGAGGAGGAGGAGGAGGGGGGGGAAGGGGAAGGGGAAGGCCTAATCTCATTGCCCTTGTGGATGTAGCTGCCCTCAGGCCATCTCGCCCCCGACTCTACCCGTGCAGAGCGCGGTCTCTGAGAAGGCGCCGGCCCACACAGGCGCTCCGTCGTCGCGGTGGTCGTCGTGGCCGTCGTCGCTCGCCAAAAGCTGATCACGTGTGGCACGATCCAGGAGGTCTGCCGGGCTCGCGGACACCTCAGCCCCTCCTTGCTCCACCGCTTCCTGCTTCGAGTTCTCCTGATATCCGACTTGACATCTTGCTGTTGCTACAGCTGTTGTTGCTCATTCTTCTCATCCTCCTCCGCGCTAGTCGGTGGGCCAATGGCAGGGCTCGTCACCACTGTCAGGGAACGAAAAGTTCTCGTCCAGATAGGCATTCCCCCGTGCCAGAGACCATGTTTAATTCCCTGGCGGTAACGGGCGTGACCTGGGGGGGGGGGGAGTGGGTGGGGGAGTGGGCCGAACACGCCACAATTCGCGCCAGCGCCGCCTCGGGAGGGCTACGTGTAGGAATGGTTCGTGCACAGACGGCGCCAGCCCGAATCGTGACGTGACCACGGGGGGGGGGGGAGTCTGGGGGGGGGAGGGGGGCCAGTCGCGGGCGTCATCGCGAGTGATTCCTCCTCCTCCTCCTCCTCCTCCTCCTCCTCCTCCTCCTCCTTCTCCTCCTCCTCCTCCTCCTCCTCCTCCTCCTCCTCCTCCTCCTCCTCCTCCTCCTCCTCCTCCTCCTCCCTCCGATCGGAGACCAGGTCGCTGGATAATAATGGATGGTCGGGAACGGGAGTGGAGGATGGAGAGAGAGGGAGGGAGGACAGAGGACGGAGGGCAGAGGACGGGGGGAGCAGGAGGGAGCACGGGCGAAAAGGATGGAGGACGGAGGGCGGCACAAGGGCGGAGGACGGAGGGCCGAGGGGCGGAGAGCGGAGGAAGCAGCTCCACTGACCCCCTCCTCCCCCTCCTCCTCCCCCTCCTCCTCCTCCTGTTCCTCCTCCTCCTCCTCCTCCTCCTCCTCCTCCCCCTCCTCCTCCTCCTCCTCCCCCTCCTCCGCAGCTCGGCAGGGCGGCCCGCTCCGAAGGCTGTGAGCACCGCGCGGGCGGAGGGGGGCAGCCCTCCGGCGGGCCGGAGGTGGGAGAGGGGCGAGCTTTTCCTCGAGATCCTGGCGTTGCGCTTTTGTTGTCACAGAGGGCGCTTTTTCGCCCCGTTTTTCGGGCCCCGGGACCCTCACAGATCGATGCGGCTCGAAAGATGACGCAGAGAAAGGTGGGGTCCGGGGCTCTGGGCGTGATGTTTTGCAGCGTTGTACTTTTTACAACGTCGGATCTCAGGCTCCGGGCGTTGCTATAGGAGTGCTCCTCCTCTGCGTGGGCTCCACGTGGCTGCACGGCTCCGGCGCGCCTGTGGAAACTTACATGTGTTGACCGGCTCCTCCTGTTCTGCCCCTCCGGTCTTCCTTCGCCTTCGTGCTTCAGTTCGCTTCGGTCCGTAGATGGGCGAATGGCGATGAAGGCAATGGCGATGTAGGTTTCGGTAGTGTCGGAACGCGTGACTCGCGTTTTCCTACAGTTCGCTGTGTCGTGCTCGCTCGATCCATTCGCAGATAGGAAATGTAGGAAAGTGTGGTTCGTGATGTCTCATGTCTTGGTACCCAGCATCGCCGTTAAGCAACATCGCTGCTAGCCTAGCCGTGGTCGGTGCGCCCCGCCGTTTGCTCGACCAGCGCTTGCTCGCTTGCGCCCGCGAACCACAAGTTGTTAGAAGAGCCTCTGGCCCAAGATGCCCCCGGGATTCTCCAGGTTGCCCAGGCGGCCTCCCGAGCACCCCTCACAAGGCCCAGAGGGCCCCAAGGGCTCCTAAAGGGAGCGAAAGGCTGGGCACCTTGGGCCAGGGGCACTTCTAGCAGCACCCGAGAGTTGGAGAGAGAAAGAGAGAGAGGGAACGCGCGTGTCCGCCGACGAGCCAGATCTCCCTCGGGCCAGCGCCGGCGGGGCAGAGCGGGCCATACTTTTCGCTTGCCGTCGCTGGCGCGGTGGGCGGTCGACTTCAGAGACTGCCTTCGGTGTGGGGGCATCATTTCTGCTGTGTGCCATGTCGTACCGGTTTGGGCTGGCGTTACGGTTGTTGGCCGTGTCGGGCGCACTGGTTTGTCCCAAGGGGGTGACAGGTTGGAAAGGCAAGGTGGTGTCGTTGTCCCATTTCTCAACCATGTATGCGGCGCGCTTATCGGTGGTTGAGAGTGCCAGGCTAATGTGCCGCAGCAAGTCGGGACCATATATTGCTTGTTTGCATAGCTACTCGCCCTGCCCCCCGCCATTTGCGCTTGCAGTATTCACCGTCGTCCACTCGAACCGCGCTCAACGAATTAGAGATTCATTGTGCTCTGGGTCGTGGACGTCAGCATCAGCCATCAAAGTTCATATGCCGTGAGACGTCGTCCATGCTTACGTCGATTGATCCGACGTCGTCTACGTACAAAGATTTGTCGGAGCTGCTGGCATTGTCGGCAGCCGTGTTGCGTTGGTTCTTTATTCGACGCCTGGGTATGTTCACGATGTGTCATAGCTTCCGTCGTCGGGTGCGACGTAATGCCTAGAGCACGTCATTAGAGAGTGCTCAAGAAGTGCAGCTTACGTGACAGTTGGTGTCACGCTTCCAGTGAGCAGCCAGAGTCTGCTGTGAAAGGGGGCACCGCTGGCTTTTCGCTCATCGTGGAGTTTGTTGAACCTGCGCCACCCCGACGCGATTTTGTTGGTGAGTTCTGCTGGGTGGAAGGGGTGGGAGTCGTGGAACGTCGGCTCGCAGCTGGGGAGGGAGGGGGACTGGGAGATGAGGAGGGGAGTACCCCCCCCATCCTCATGGGGCATCACCGTAAGCAGCTCGGTTTCGATTCCCGGCAGCTGGGGAGAGCGGGGAGAAAAGGAGAGGGGGTCCTCCCTTGTCTCTTGTCTCCTACGAATCCTCATCACGCCAGCACCGTGTAGGCAGTTCATTTCTTCGTGGGCGCAGCTTGCAAAGCATCAATCCGAGGCCCTGCTCGGGCCACCCACCTTCTCCAGACTCCGTTTCGTTCTACGCAGGCTCTTCCATCCTCCTCCTCCTCCACCTC